AGACACCTTCCAGTTGTTGTGGAGTATAAAGCCAAAATTTTTTATCAGTTATTTGAACGTCTACTGTATTATAACTGAATAGAAAACGTAATCCATGTGACTGAATTCCTGCATTCACACAAAGGCGATGCAGCTGGACCCTAGTCCTAAGGCTATTCCATGCTGTAACGTTCCAAGACTTCCTACCCGATATAAGAAACCAATAAGTAAAGCTGGACACCTATATTCCGAAGGCGAGAGAACAAATGCGCCTGAAAATTGCCCGCCAAACTTCACGTGGTTACACCAACAAGGTACTACACATGCACCCTAAAACCAGAAGAATGCGTAGTGACCGCCAGTCATCCAAGGGACCAATTCAACCAGACCTTATAGTATCGCGTATACCCATCCTCACTATTACGGGAAAAAAATTTGCATAACCGCTCGAGGACCCATAACTATGTAGTATGAGTCGAGTGTGCAAACCCGATAATGTCAAAAAAGCAAGGTTCTGCTTCTTTTCACAAATTGCAATGTTTCAGGAGAAGGTCAACGTAGAATTTAACTCCATCCACCATCCGTTCACGCCTCCATTATGGACGAATGGTCTCCCTGATGGGCCTATGACTTTCATCCAACTTTGGAGGTGTTCGAATTACGAGGCGCATCGAGTCCACCCGACCGAACGCCAGGACGTCACACATCTTATCTACAAAAATAAACCCAGAACGATGAAAGCCCACGGATCAACCAGCCACGATCCCAAACAGAGGCCCTTAAATGACCCCAAATTGCGAAACCCAACTCCCCATCCCCTTCTCGTGCACCAACTAATCCAGTCCTGATCTCAGCTCCAGGATCAAAACACCAAAAGCTCCATCAAGGACATCGACATTGTCAAATCTTAGGTAAGGTCTAACGCCTACTTCCGTCCTGTCTTAATAAAAAGGACAAAAGCCAAATCTAGAAAAACATTAAAATTGAATTTATTGACAGACAATATCCGTCACCCTGATAGCAGTCAGCATGCACTACCAAGCTGCACCAGGTGGATATCCAGCAGCAGTGGCGGCAGTAGGCGGTGGCACATTTGGTGCTGGTAGTCCCGCCGCTGCCGCGGCACCTGCCGGACCCATTGCGTAGCCATAAGGAGAGGGCTGTGGCACTGGTGCTGGGGGCTGAGGTGGACCACCACCGCCTGGAACAGTGGGAGGTGCAAGGCCACCATATATGGGTGCCCCACCTACTCCAACACCACCACCACCCCCCGTGGCTGCCGCAGCAGCTGCCGCTACCGCCGCCGCAGCAGCCGCTGCAGCAGGGTTGTTTAGTGGTGCATTCATCCTGTACATCGCTGCAGCTGCTGCCGCTGGTGGGCCCCTGCAGCAATACAAAAAATTACAAATGAATGGGAGAAATAGGGTCCGTCCTGACCGAAACACATACTTCAGCTACATATCAGCCTATGCATCAAGACCTGCAAGCAACTAAATCGGTTGGTAGAAGTACGAACGCTCGACAGCAGATCATAAAGCAGTCAAATAATTCTGACCGACACCTCTGTGGTATCCGATGGTAGGCCACAAACCACGGCAACAGCCCTTACCAAGCAGTCCAAATGCAAAATTTTATTTTTTGCAAATGCAGCTCCGTATTTTACTGCCAAACCAAGACTAGCCCTGCCCCCCTCCCCATTACCTACATGACCCCATTACCTACTCCTTCGCAAATGACTAAGCTCGTGGAGCTGAGACGGAAGACATTCGGAGTAGAGAAGAAACTCGGATACAGCTAACATAATGTGTGAGAAAAGAGGAATGGAGAAAAAGCGGTACCAAAGTAAACGTTAATGCTTACCATTTTCAGATACTTAACGGATCATTCCCACCACCACCACCACCACCACCACAAAAAACTAATACATTTACGACGAAAGGAACAGACACTACTGGCCCAATATACTACCTACGCACGAACCGCTATC